CTTACTAATCAATGCAGATTGGACACCACCCACTCCTCGTACTGCAGGTGAGGATTCAGTGGGCCAGTCTGAAGGCCATTCCTCGGCACGAATGACTGTGACGTCGGCCCCGGTATCTAAAATACCAGAAAAGGATTTATGGCGGATCGTAAAAGCAGTGGACGGGCGGGCTTGTTGTAAATCTTTTTCAATGGTCAAAATAGAGGATTGTGTTTCTAACACTGCTGGTACGGGAATCATAGTGGCTGCTAATTGTCCCTCAGGAATGTGCAGCGGAACATTCACAGAAAAAACCAAAGCAAAAGAGGAAAAGTCAGTGGAATCCCGAAGAAAAGGTGAAGCAAGTACGCCCTGAGAAATCAAATCCCTGTGAGGAAAGATGATGACAGGGGCTTGGGGCGGGATGTGTATCCGCCCTATGGGGCGTAAAGGCAGAAAATAAGCAGTAGCGGGGGATGGGGCATCGATGGACTCGCTGGCCACGAGATCCATTGAAGCAGGAGAAGGGGGAGGAAATGGGTTACTTTCAGCCTTTTGAGCGGGGCTGGCTGAATGCCCCGATTTTAGTTTCCCTGTCGGAGAGGATTTGAACGGCACTGATTTGCCCAATGAAATCCTTTTTTGCAACGAGGGCATACTGTTTTTGGTTTTGCACTCTGATTGCTAATTTTACTCTGCCCCCCCCCCCGGGGCTCGGCATTGTGCCCTAACGTGGCCAGGTTTTCCACAATTGAAACAATTACCGTTAGGGTTCCCCACCGTTTGTTGAAGTGCTGCTGCTAAAGCATCCATTTGATAGGTTTGTGTCCCTACCACCCTGCATGCCTTTAAGAAATCAGCAATAGTAACACCTGGTCGGTTTGCTATAGGTTGCAAAATACGGTGGCAGTCGGAATTTGCATTTTCAAAAGCCAATTTAATTAACAATTCAGCTTGTGCCTCGGGGTTGTCAATCTGACGGCTAATAGCCTTTTGCAAATCATCAATAAAATTACTGTAAGCCTGATTCGGTCCTTGAACCACCTTGGAGAATGATTTTTTAGGACCGTCCATGGTGTCATCAACCTTTTTTATGGCCATCATCGCAGCCTGTGATATAATCTCACTGGCTTCCCTGGGTGTTTGAGCGTATTGTTGAGGTCCCTGGCCAGGTCCCCCCAACAAATGACCGTTTGTGACACCTTGTGGTAGACCCCTTCGGATTGATCTTTCAATTTCCTTTTCATATTCAGAATACCACACTGTGTATTGCGAAGGAGTAAGAATCATGCCAAATAACAATTTCCAGTCTTCTAAGACCATTTGGTAGGTATTTGCCGTGGTTGCGAACAGTCCTTGGGTGTAAGGTGAAGTAACACCATAAAGACTAGCCGCTTGTTTCAGGTCTTTTACAACTTTATAAGGCATTGGGGTATGAACAAGAATCTGAGGTCCGTTGGGATTGGCTGGATCCGGACCTAAAGCGACGGGATAACAATGAGCGGCTTCCTCTATTTCCAATTCGCCTCTCAATTGTGCCTCTCATAATGCAGAGGCAACCGTGCCCATGTTTGTTTGATTTGGAATAGGAGGGTCAGATTGTATGAGGTTTTCAGGCGCTGTAGCAGCCGTATAAACCTCTGTTGGATTTGCCGTTTTGGCTGGTGGGGTTAATTTTTCGCCAGATTCATAAGGCGGTGGAGAATCTGGTTCTCCTTTCATGGCTTGTTCATGAATTTGCAGACATTCCATGATTATCCGCCAGGAGGATAATACCTTCGCAGGAGCCCGTGGCGTCTCATGAAGATATTTCCCCAATTTTATCCATGTGGAAGTTTTGATGGATCCCTTCTCTGGATAAGTGGGACAATTTTTGTAAATATATTTAAGAAGGGAAGTTAGGTCTGATTTTGAGGGAAGTAGAGGACTTTTCCCATTATTTTTCAAAATAATAATTGAGGACTTGGCCAATTCCCCAAGTTCGTGGAGGTGCGTAACCTGAGGCTTAGAGAATTCTGTCCCCATACTCACGATTATGGGAGGGTGCTTCGTTCGCCGACGACCGGCCCTGGTTTGCAGAGGCTCTTCCAGCCGAATGAGTATGAGGGTGCCAAGAGACGTGCTCGATCAGCGAAATCACGTCGGGGTCACCATATGTTGGAATCAACTTGGCGGGCTCATCATGAATGGCCGAATTAGAGAATACACAAACACAGGTGCTTCTCGGGATGATGGCGCAGCGAACAAAAGCCTGCCATCTCTTTTATTAGTTATCAAAATACAGCGTCATCAGAAGGCGTTATTATGGCTACACATCTCATATTACATACAAGAGATAGAAAAACATCCATAAATTCTCCAAATATAAGTTTCACATTCTTACCAATTACTGAAAATCACGTGATTTCTAGGAAAGCGATACTTGAGGTGTGAAAAACAAAACTTAACTTTAGCTATATGGTACCAGTTACTACCAGGCGAGAGGCCCATCTCCTGCTATCTGATTACCTCACTTTTCAGGAATGTTCCGCCAAGAGATGTTTCGTATCTTTTCAAATACAGTCTATGTTCTTAACAAAGAGAGAACAAATATAGGGCCCTTTAGATAGTATCCAGCTGAACCCGCATTCCCACAAAATCCCAGTAAGTTTTTTGCATTTACCACTTTTTAAATATTTGTAAATGGTTCCTTCCTCTTTACTTTAATCTGTTCCAGATTGAAGGTACACTTACTCAAGTGGCTTTAGGTGCTCTGCTGCTATGAAGATCTCTTTACATTTTAAATATGCTACATTTAAATGTGTTTAGAAAGAGGAACTACCGGTAACAGACAGTGCTCTTTAAAAAGTCTTCACAAAATATTGTGAGCATTCCGTGGCTCCCTGTGAGCATTCTACTCACAGATTGCTCAAGGTTCCTTGAAGACCCTATTAACTTCTTCATGAGGAGTTCCCTCCCACCAAGCTCACGTGGGTGATCTATGATTCTCCTTATTCAGAGAAGCTCTTTAGCTTGGACATATAGCAGAGGTGGGTTTTAACAGAACTTTGACGAGTTCTGGAGAACCGGTAGCGGAAATTTTGAGTAGTTCGGAGAACCGGTAAATACCACCTCTGACTGGCCCTACCCCCATTTATTCTCTGCTTCCTGAGTCCCAGCTGATTGGGAGGAAATGGGGATTTTGCAGTAACCTTCCTCTGGATTGGGGAATGAATGGAGATTTTACAGTATCCTTCCCCTGGAATGGGGTGGGAATGGAGATTTTACAGTATCCTTCCCTTGACATGCCCACCAAGCCACGCCTACCAATCCACCAAGCAACACCCACAGAACCGGTAGTAAAAAAAATTGAAACCCACCACTGGCATATAGCCTGGCTATTGGTGTTTGTCTCTGCTTTATCCCTATGGGACACTACAAGGCTCAAAAGTTGCCTTTAGAAAGCATTTGCAAGGTGTAACTTCCAAACTGAAATGTAGCTGCTCAAGGATTTATGGGCACCTCCAGTTTGCCCAAGTAACACTTCTACTGTGAGAATTGCCCTGATTGCGGGCAACTATACCCAATCATATCTGTCCATGCAATTAGATATTCAGGTTAGAGGGGACATCATTGCTGTCATCTTGATTTCCTTAACTAGCCTGCAAGCTGCATTGGCCTTTAATATCTCCCCAATACTTTTTTCCCCCTTCCATTCAATCACATTCAATTCTTGGAGACTGCCTGGACAAATCCCTGCAATTTCTTAAGATTTTTCAGAAGTGTTTTGCTCTCCCTTGGGCTGAGAGGCAGTGACAGTCCCAAGGTCAATCAGCTGGCTTTGTGCCAAAGCAGGATTAGAACTCATGGTCTCCTGGTTTCTAGTCTGATGCCTTGACCACTACACGAAACTGCTGCAGTGTTCCCCAGACCATTTTCCATGGTCATACTTCCTCCTATTTCCCTGACACATTTGTTACCACCATCTTCTATCTCCCAATCCCTTCCTCTTCTGGCCCTCTTACAGAGCCACAGACAAACAAACACAACCTGATTTCAGTCCAAAGGCCTCTTTTAAAAGCTCCCAAGGGATTCCTACACCAAATCTGCAAATCAGACTCTAGCCCAGAGGTGCTATTCAGCAGATTCTGACAGGTTCTGGAGAACCGGTAGCAGAAATTTTGAGTAGTTCGGAGAACCAGCAAATACCACCTCTTGCTGGCCCCAGAGTGGGATGGGAATGGGGATTTTGCAATATCCTTCTCCCAGGAGTGGGGAAGGAATGGAGATTTTACAGTATCCTTCTCCTGCCACGCCCACCAAGCCACATCCATCAAGCCACACCATGCCCACCAAGCCATGCCCACAGAACTGGTAGTAAAAAAATTTGAATTCCACCACTGCTCTAGTCTCGCAATTTCTCTTTTTTCTGAATGCCATGGGGAGAAAAATCATTCTCAGCATACGCATCCATTAAAACAAAAACAAAAAACACTAAAATGTGAGAGGTCTTAAAAAGAAAACAAGTAATGCCCTGCTTATATGTAGTTTATTAGGGACATGACCTATGGAATTACAAGAGGGGAACAATGGCATCTAAAAAATTTATCTAATTGGAATCTTGGTGGTAGTAAACCCATCATCATCAACTAATTCTTCCCTAAATCCCCAACAAGAGCAGCATAAATTTAGTATAAATGAACAAAATCTCATATACGTGACTCTTTGAATACATATGTGGGTAAAGGGGAATCTCTGTATGTTTATGTATATCTCTTTCTGTATACCTGTATATATTAAGAGTCCATGTGTCTGTGTGTATCTGTGTCTATGTCCTTCAAGTAAACCTTGACCCCTGATGATTATCTGGACTACTCCCTGCAGTTTTCTTCACTTACCATTTCCTTCTTCCTAAGTCTGAAGTGATTGGTCTAATGTCACCCAGTTGGCTTTATGCCCAAAGCAGGACTAGAAGTGATTTCCTAGTTTCTATCCTGGTGTTTGTTAGCCCTTCAAGGCAGTCTAGATAAGAAACACAACTCTTGAGTATTAATTCTATCTCTATTACAAAGTTACATTAAAGGAATTTTGCAAGACTGAACGTATCTCTCCTCTCCTCTCCCCTCCTCTCCTTTTACTCTTCAGAAAACGAGGGAGGGTTCCTTCAGAAATGCTTCCCATGTTCCCTTCTTTCCCAGTAGACTGAGGAATCTTTTACAGGCTGGAAAATAAATATCATTTCATTAATAATGTTTACAAAGACAAAAGACAAATATTAAAATATATAAAGAAAATATATATGGCTCACATACAGTATGAAGGGAACAATAATAATTAAAGAAACAAGAACCAAAAAAGAAATAACTTTGATAACTTTTCAGCAGTTAGACAAATCCATTATCCTTCTTCCCTCTTTTATATTACAAAAATCCCTTCAGCCCCTTATTTTACCCTTTTTCAAAAATCAAATTTTTGATTTTTCAAAAATTGAGAAATCATTATTTCACTCTTTTCCATTTTCAGCAAAAAGTCTATAAAGGATACCCAGTCTTTTATAAAAGACTGTTTGCCTCTTATAAAAGTTGGCTGTTCATCCCCCATCTCCCAAAGCCATTCCCACATACAGGGCCGGATTTTCCTATAGGCTAACTAGGCTTCAGCCTAGGGCCTCAAGATCCAGAGGGGCCTATACAGTGTGGGATTCTGGGGGTTCTAGGTGGCTCGGCCGAATCCTTTGTTAAATTGCTGGCTCCCCCGCCCCTCCGCACCACTATTTATTGCCAATAAATAGTGGTGGGCGAGGGGCGGGGGAGCCAGCAATTTAACAAAGGGTTCGGTGTTTTTTTTGTAATTTTATTGGCCCCTGGAGCTTCAGCATAGGCTAATTGGCCTCCCGGCTCTCAGCTGATTTGTCTCGCTGTTTTGCTTCCTTCCAAAGAGTGCTGATTTTTTTCCCCCTAGCTATACTGAGAAACAAAAGTGAAACTGCTTTGCTGTTCCTGCAAGGTTGGAAAATTAGGCAGGCAGAATTCTTTTCTTTTTCCTCACCAAAAAAGGTACGTGCAAACAATGGGAAATTTAGGGAAAAAGAGAAGAGTTCAGGATTTTAAAACACAAAAGAAAAAAAAGCTCTTTTTAACTAGGGAATTGTAATAATTGAGATACTATTAATTGTATATTTCTGAAAGCAGAAATGGTTAAGTTGTGGTTTGGAGGAATATATGGGGGAAATTATTTGGTTTATTATTATTGGTAAATATAATTAATGGATTTGTAAGAAATTGGATTGCATGGAAATAATTGGAATATTCATGTTCATATTGATTAATATACAAAAAAGGTAGTTATATAACTAATTGATTTATATTAAAATGTTGAATTTATATTAAACAACTAATATTACATAATTAACCAATGTGAGGATGGATATAAAAATAGATGACAATGGGAAGGGGTATAATATAGAATAGAAGGGAAAAATTGAATTTGATTAAGATTAGAGATGAGGATGAAGGGTAATATTGATTTTTTTACAAAAATAGATGAGGAATAAATATGGCAAAAAGGAAATATAGAAATTGTAAATTTAATTGAAATGACTAAACACTATTTAAATTTGTGAACCGGCCAAATACTCTGTTCAAAGAAAATAGATTGTATGTTTGTATGTGTGTTTCTAATTATTGTTATTTATTCATATTTGTTCTCTTTTATTCTTTAAAGTTTAACAATTCATTCTTTATCTTAATATCTTTATATTTGTTTGGGGTTGGCTTTCTTCCCTTTCATCTTTTTTATTGTATAGCAATCTTTCTCCTCAAACCTACCACCTTTCTTTTCTTTCCTTCTTACTTTCTCTTCCTCCCTCTCTTCTTCTCCTCCCTACTTCCTCTTCCTTTCTCCTTCTCCTCCTCTCTTCCTCCCTCTCTCTCCTACTCTAATTTCCCTTCCCTTCCTTCATCCCTCTCTATTGCTGTATCCTTTTATGCATATGGACTACTCAGAGGGCTGAAAAAGTTATTTCTGACTGGTCCTTGCACTTTTGACCAGTCCTCGAACTTACGACTGTCCTCACATTTTACGTTTTTGCCCTATCTTGTCACCATGGTGAAGAAAAGCAGTTGTGAAATGAGTGACATGGTTGTTAAGAAAGCTGCACGGGCATAAATGTGAGGATGGTCATAAGTGTGAGGACCGGTCAAAAGTGCGAGGCCCAGTCAGAAATGACTTTTTTCAGCCCTCTGAAAAAAGTCTATGCACATAGCCACGCCCACCCGGTCACATGACGAGCTACCCACGCCTACACAGTCATGTGACCAGCTAGCCACGCCCACCCAGTCACATGATTGCCAAGCCACACCCCCAACTAAGCCACGCCCACAGAACCTGTTGTTAAAAAATTGAATCCCACCACTGGTGAAAGGGCCTCATAAGTGGAATAGCCTAGGGCCTCTTTCAATCTAAATCCGGCCCTGCCCACATACCATTACAGTACCTTAACCTCTACATCAAACTGGTTCCCAAGATTCTTCAGATACAATGTTGAACATTTCCCAATTTTGTCACCATATTTTCCTGAAAAGAAGATGGTGATTTATTCTCCAAATAATGCCCTTTGAAGTAGAAAGCCTTGTCTTACATGCAGTCCACAGAAGCAGACATTATTGAAAAAGAAAACATAGGAGATATGTAGAAATAACACAAGGTTGGGAGAGTGGGATCTCCATCTCGTTTGTGTCAGAGGCACTGTTTAAGGCACTTTCAGCTTGAAAGGATTAGCCGGTGACATCACAATTGACCAGGGGACACCAGTGGAGTCTCCTTTCATGTCCCCATCAAGGAGCTGGAGCGAATGACAGGAGCTCACCTCATCACACAGCAGCACTCAGGTCTTGAACATGGGCTTGCTAACCTCCAACCCAGCATTGTAACCACATGAGCCACCACTCTCCTTGGAAGAGTGGGATGAGAGGAAGAAAAGCATTCACTATTGTTTCTTGCCTAAAAGTGGAATTTTTAAAAAATGGTGGAGTCCACAGTCAGATGTCCTGGAATGCATACTATGGCTGATTAACTTTGCCATAGTGTTGTTGTTGTTTTTTAAAAAGAACACTTATCTTCAGTGTGTATTAAATTAATTGGACTTGAAAGCAACAGAGATCTGGCTTGTAACTAACTCTTCTTTTCCTCTGGCAGAGTGTCTCCACATTTCATGTGCCCCCGAGCATTCCTGGAAATAAGAGAACAAGGTAGCTGGAGATTGGCAATCTGTAGCACTCCAGCCTCTAAAACCAAGTGAGGAAGTGATGTGTGAGGGGAAACCATTTGTAGAAGTTTGCAGCTAGGAGCGAGCTGAGATGCAGATAGATGTAGAAGTTTGTAGGTAAGGACCTGCAAGGCATGGACTTGAAGAAGAATGAAGATGGCTAGAGAAGCCAGAAAAATTGTAAACCTGTTCAGAATGCACAACCTTTGTCAACAGTCATGAAGGCCCTGCTTGGCAGGATCTCACTGGTTTCAGAGTATAGTTATACTGTATAGAAAGGCCTGCCTGGCATTCATGATGACCAGAGCTACCTGTCAAAGCTCTATTAGTTACATTCAGGATTTATAAACAAAACATCATCCATCTTCTCCAACACTCCTCCAATAAAAACGTCATCAAAAAAGCACAACAAAGAATATTCTTTCTGCACCAACTCAGAAAGTTCAAACTGCCCAAGGAGCTTCTGATACAGTTCTACAGAGGAATTATTGAGTCTGTCATCTGCACCTCTATAATTGTCTGGTTTGGTCCTGCAACCCAACAAGACAGACACAGACTTCAGAGGATATTTAGAACTGCAGAAAAAACAATTGCTACCAACCTGCCTTCCATTGAAGAGCTGTATACTGCACGAGTCAAAAAGAGGGATGTGAAATAATTTACAGATCACTCACATCCTGGACACAAACTGTTTCAACTCCTACCCTCAAAACTACGCTATAGAGCACTGCACACCAGAACAACTAGACACAAGAACAGTTTTTTCCTGAACGCCATCACTCTGTTAAACAAATAATTCCCTCAACTGTCAAACTATTTACTAAGTCTGCACTACTATTAATCTTCTCATCATTCCTATCACCCATCTCCTTCCACTAATGACTGTATGACTGTAACTTTGTTGCTTATATCCTTAAGATTTATATTGACTGTTTCCTAATATGATTTGATTGCTTATTTGTACACTATGATTATCATTAAGTGTTGTACCTTATGATTCTTGATGAATATATCTTTTCTTGTACACATGTACACTGAGAGCATATGCACCAAGCCAAATTCCTTGTGTGTCCAATCACACTTGCCCAATAAAATCCTATTCTATTCTATTCATTGAGAAAGCATATCCTGTTATTGCTTCCTTCCTAAACTTGTAGGAAATGGCTTCCAGGTCCCTTGTCACCCTGGTATTGTGGCTCTCCACTGGACCTAATTCAGCTTCTCCATGCCCTTTCAAAATGTGAGATCTAGAATTAGACACAGTATTGCAAATGCAATGGAACTACTGCAGAGTAATCCAAAATCTGGATACATCAATCAGCCAAAAATAGTTTTGGCCTTTTTAAGGGTTACACACATTCCTTGCTCATATTTATATCATATAGATTTTAAAAAAACAAAAACAAAGTGAGCTTTCAAGTATACTTCAGTTATTGTTTTACAGATCAAACTATTTCATATATGTATGAACATATAGCCTAGATAGTTTGTTTTTTAAATCAAATTTATATGTTTTGTGTACAGTATTACTCGTAAAGTTAGCTTTGGGGGTTGCAGGTACCATGAAGCTTCTAAGAACTATTTCTATACCAGTTAAATATAATCAGACACATTTTATTCTACATGTTTTTAAAAATATATTATTCTGCTTTTCCATTAAGGTCAGTGTATTCAGAATAGCCACAATATAACCAACAATGCAAGATAAAAGCAGTAGAATTTTAGCCTCTTTAGTAAAGGGACTGGCCAGATGAAGTACCTGCTGGGGAAACTATTGTGTCTTTGCAACAGTAGAAGTTCATCTGAGAGGCAATCAGACAGTCCCAAGGTCTGCCTAAATGATCAGAAGACTCAGTCATGTCCCAGAGAAAAGCAGTTTTATCAGTCCACTTGAGAAACAAAAAGCAGAATTCTCATCAAGATGTTCAGAACCAAAATTCAATCCCCTCAGCACATTTCAAGAAATTAGACAGTTTGAAGGAATATGGAAAGGAACAAGTTAATCACAAGGAAAATGCTTTTTTGTTTTTATTTTTACTTTTCCAGAGATGAAAAATATTAGAATGTGGAACAGTACAGTTGGGAAGATGAAGGTGTGGCCATTTTGTTCTCTAATCACAGGCAATAACTGAAAAGAAACTGTCCAGTCATAGTGCATTTTAGGAAAAGGAAGTTGAATGATAGCGTTTATGCCATATTCTCTCTTCTTTGTTAACTCTTAGTGAGATAGATTATTTTGCTAACTGGGAATTTCAAGACTCTTGGCTAGACTGGGAGGTTGAAAACACTGCAGAAGATGGCAGTCCCAAACTAATTTCACAATGTCTTGAAGAAAATTGCAGGGATGCAGTCACAGGAGTTGTGCATGGCCTCTTTACATTTATCATTCCAAACTTCCCAACCCTTTCCTTAAAATTCACTTTTTCTAAGCCAGTTTCTTAATGTATATGCTGATCTTGCGTTTAACTATTACACTTCATTTATTATTATTCTATGTTTATCTGTCTTATTAAGATTCAAGTAAATCCTTCCTTCTACAGAAATCAAATTTAATGCCTAAAATTTTTCCTGTACAAAGTCTCTGCATTTAACAAGTCTTATCCCCACAGAAGGATCAAATCTCATCTGATTCTGATGGGAAAGCAAGGAACAAATCAAGACTTTCCCATTTAAAAACAATAAATATTTAAAGGATCTAAGCAGACTTATATATTTACATATTCAGATATACTTCTTTCCCTAAAATGTAGCAGGCTTATGGAAGACTATAAATCTTACAGTTACAACCATTGTCAAACTTTCTCCGACAGTCTGACAGACAGAGTTATAAGAGACAGACAGACTTATATGTCTCCTAATCAGAGACATAAATCTTTGACTTTCCAAATTATATTTCAGATTCAGTCATGGGTCAAACAGGGCTGAAATGATGCAACTTTCCAATCAAAGCACATACATCATCATAACTTTATTTAAAATCTTCCTTCCTTCCTTCCTTCCTTCCTTCCTTCCTTCCTTCCTTCCTTCCTGATTAGTACACACTGATTAGTGTGTACTAATCAGGATGGCTTTCTATTATTTCCAATGTTAGAAAAGAATATGCCTTTGAATGCCAGTTGCCATGGAGCACAAGTGGGAGGCACAATTGCCTCTTCACGCTTCAGCTTCTAGAAAAAACAATATTTATCTGTTTAGTTAGGATTTAAAGTTTGCAGAAGCCCTATCAGTGACTAAAATTGTGCAGTAAGAATTCAGTATTGACCAAGTGAATTTAAGTATCTCACACACAGAGAGAATAAGGGCCATGGGCTTAACAAGAAAAGTTAAGGTTAGGATTTTTAAAAAAAACTATGGTACATAAAGGCACAGAAAATGGTAGAGAGTTTGGGCTTAATATCTATGCGTTAGAGTTTCAAAAACCAGGTAGTTGCCAAAACTAATTCATAATAGAACTTCTTTTTTTAAGAGTTGCCTGCAAGAGAACTTGTGGCTTTTGACTGATTTGACTCCTCAGCATTTGGTTGACTGCAAATTTCTCATTTAGAAAGGCTTTCGGTTGCCTGAAGAGAACTACAGTGAGTGGTCAGAGAGTTGGAATAGAATAGAATAGAATAGAATAGAATAGAATAGAATAGAATAGAATAACAGAGTTGGAAGGGATCTTGGAGGTCTTCTAGTCCTACCCCCATCTTAGGCAGGAAAACCCTACAACACTTCAGACAAATGGTTATGGAAAGGTTTATTATTTATTATATTGTGGAGTCCAACACCTTGCTCTATGTATAAAAATCAAAGCATCTCATCTCCCAAAAAAATGGCACCTAACAAAAATAGAAACTCTTTCAATTTTAAGGAAGGGCTCAGGAAGGCGATCAGCTTTGGCCCTAATAGGCAAGGACAGGTTTGGAGTGGATTTTACTAATTAGGCATCTTGAAACCAGATCTGCAACTTTCCAATAAAACCAGATTGTACAACCTTTTCAAATATATTGTACACAGTTTTTCCTTGTCCCATCTGGCATTGTTCTATGCCAGCTAAGGTGATGGGCACCAAACAAGAAAACTGAACAGGACCTTTCAAAGAGTTTGAAAAATTTAAAAACAGCATATTCCCATTTACAACTCTCTCCTCCCTGAATTTTATGTGGGTGTATTTTTTTTTTCCTCTTCCATAGTGCCTTTGTCCATTGACTATTAAACCAGAACATTAAACCAGAAAACCTCAAATACCGAACAAACTCTTGGAATTGTATTCTGGCTGATTTGTTGTACCACCTTCAGCAAGCTGACCTGATCATTTGAAATACTGATCTGTTCTTTGGATAGCCCTCCTCTGCATGAGCCTGAGTCATTTCTATTTCCCCCAAAGACCCATAACAGGAAAGTCATCACTTGAGGATATTAAATTAGAAATTTAGGGAGGCCCATAGTTATAAGACAGGACACAATATATTCTCCTTCCTTGACAGTGAC